GTTGTTGTCCTTGGCTTTGTTGTCTTTATTGTTGCTCCAATTCTCTTTGTGAGTTGATTACATCTCACATAGCCATATTCCTAGCTGACGTTGGTACCTCTAGTTGTTCTGGAATATTGTCTTGTTTTGCATGGGCCGACACCCTCTCCAGATCCACAGTACCATTAAACCTGAAGTTGGAAAGCTTTCCAAATCGATAGTTGACACCATACCACTAGTCTTGTACATTCCTCCACCTCCTGGCTACATTCCTCAGCAACAAAACGTGTCAGTCCAAGTAAAACCTGATACTTTGGGTTCTAAGTCAGCTCCAGCTGAATCTGAACCTAAACGACGCTTCTGGATTATGAAGTGTTTGACATCTGTCAATACTCCAAAGGATCAAAAGATTCCTAAATCCAAAGAGGATGAATTTGATGAAAATATTGGTGAACCACAGGCTTGGGAGGAATACTGGGAGCAGGGAGAATATCCATTTGTTATCCTTGAAGAGAATCGGGCTGCTTGTGCTATTTGTCTTGTGGACTTTGTGGAACCTAAAAGGATTTGGGCTGACAACAACTCTATAGTACCAAAAACAGAGAGCAATCCAAATCCTGTCACTGAGGCTGCTGTTACTGTGGATGTTTCTAAACCCATTCTTGATGCTGTTTCTGCGTCGGGAAACAATGATCATGCTACTACAAAACTTGTAGATGCAGGGGAGGGTATGCAGCCATTAAGACTCTTGGCATGTGGCCATGTTTTTCATGTTAGTGTTATGCAGACCATATGTTTTTCTTTGCAAACCAACATGTGACTAATCTTTGTATCAGAAATCATGTCTCGATCCATGGCTTCTCGATATATCAGGAAGGTGTCCAGTCTGTCAACGTGTTGTCAAAGTTCCTGAGGACATGAAACCAAGAAAAGGGCGACATCGAGACCGATAACACTTCATTGCCGCTGAGGCGCACTTGGTTGCTAATTGTAGCTTGAGCTAGAGGAATTGATTGTCATGTGAGATACTCTTCCGTTTCCAAGATTTCAGAGGATTTCAAAAGTTTCACAGTTTTTGAACCTGAGTGTCTCTCAATTCTTTACTACTTTTCTTGGACTCAATCTATGTAGTTTTGTGCGTGGACTTTCACCTATATGATCTCAAAAGTAGCCTGTTATGAAATGTCAATTACAAAGGCTGACTTAGTGAAGGTAATTTGGCTCTCGGTAGGATCGAAATAGCCATATCTATCATAGCCAACTTGAACAACTCAGTCTAGCCAGATCTACTGATAGAGCTCAGACTGTGAGAGGCTGATACGTGGCCCCGCAGATGCCATGCATAAGTACCAACTCTTCAATCAACAGCACTATGCTTTGACGAACTTATTGACTTTCTTGATTAGTACTTCTCCTGAGTAGCATGAATTTTTGTCAGCACCCTACTTATCCCGACTCGCGCCACAAGTTGAATGGGTACTGCTGTAGCTCCGCCTGGCCAGCATCGGCGTCTTACCAAGCACGCCGCTAGATTACTCTGCACAAAGTTTCCATCTATAGCTTCTATCAATTCTCTCCTGATATGATTTACGCCGAAGGGCGTATGTGACTGCACTCTCGTCATCCTTGTGTCAGTAGAATCTGAGTCACCTCTGCGACAGGTCACTGCGCCTCGAAAGTACTAGTAGATCTAATCATCTATTCATTTGTTCCAACATTCATTCTGATGAAGTTGCCATGTAAATTGAGCCCCTACACTGACAGTCTGTTGAATAGTCATGCCCAGCTCCTGATGAGAGCAAAGTAGCGTGTAAGTACGTTTCCATCCCAACTTGACATCAAGAGTCAATAGTGTATTTGCAACGGGACTTTTCACTACTTTGAGTGCAAGCGAATAAGCCCCGAGTGAAAGTTCTTGGCAGTTTCTGGCCTGATTGCCGTGGGAGCCGATAAGTTGCCTTGTCACGCTGACCCAATTTACAACCTCGCGCAGCCTATTCTACGTTGCAAACAATCTCAAGTCTCGAGTTATTGGCTATGTTACATACAGCTTTACAGCTGCTACTTTCTCTCTTCTGTTTCCTACTTTTCCTTCACCACTCTGTCGGCAGGGAAGTTGGTGCAAATCAACCTGTCAATCAACCTGTCCATCATTGGTGCCTAATTCCAGTTCAGCTGAGTTCAAGTTCCAGTAGGACTAGCCTTGCAAATACACTCTAATGAGCTGTTTTTACTTACCTAGATGCATGGCTTCAGCAAGTCACTTCAATAATTAACTGTTTAAAGAAATAACATCGATGCAAGTGTTCAACTTTCTGGTATACAAGTTATCCAGGGCCCTGTATACTATGCGCTCAGAAAGCTTGCCCATTTGATGTGCCAATGTACATCTTCTACAGCTTGAACTTTCCGGAACAATAGCCCTGAGCCGCCGCTTGAGCACCGGCCAACAGATGTGACATTGACAATCATTCATCGGTTTGATCTATCCTCTCATTCACTGTTCAGGAGGTGTACAAATTCCACTCTTCTATAGCCGAAAATTCATATATTCACATAACTGCAACCTAATAGCTCACGCATTTCCCTGTCTAGAACATCAGCTGTCTACTAGATCATTGATCATCGTCGTCACATATCGAGTCTCTAGGCTCTGGTTGGATGATGATCCATCACCGTTTGTTTGACTGATGCTCGATTCCATTCTGACGCCACTACGAGCTGTTTATTGACTTGAAGACTATTTCAAATCTACTATGCAGGTGACTTGTAATAGTACCATCGTCGGAAACTCCAAGTTTTGTCCACCAAGTTTTCTAGATGATGCCCATCATGATTTGGGATGATGGCTGTATAGGTGTTTTCACTCTTCGTTAGACTGCTCACCAGCACCTACTCGGCGGGCTGGTACTTGAGCCTATAACAACTCTGTAATACGTGCCATCTTCTTCAATGCATGAAACAATCAGCATATTACATGCGCTATTCTGGAATATTCAAGTTCATTGTACTACCCTTCATTTTGGAAACCGTCTATTGATACTAATCAATTGACGCGGTGTGATTTACAGGTAATCGGCATGTAGCTCTGTTCTACCAGATATACAGGAGGGATTCGTACATTTGTTTGCAGGACAAGAATATAGATGGTGTATTGTATCTTCTCTCTTTGTTGCTTGACGAATCACTGTGAACCACGACTGGATTGAACTTTGGGTTCCTCTTCAATGTGTCAGACCATCATTTCCCGTATCATTCTGCCATTACGCTGGTATCGACGAAAAGAAAATATCCGAGACTGGCTCAAGCAATAAAAGGCAGAAGAATGCCTCACTGGAGATTATAGTCTTAGGCAGCAGTGCTTATAGTTCCTTGGGGTGGTCTAATCTCAATTGACAGTTTGGACTGCAAATTATGGAGATTTCAGTGAGAAATTCATACCATCTGCTCACTTCGTTGATCAACATCATGTCAGGAGACAGAACTGCTGTTCATCAAGCCACGACTAACTCAGACTGATTTATCCCAGAGGCTCAATGTTTTCGAATATGTATAGTATTTCTAAGGAAACCTCGCTGGTATATAAATGGAGTTAGGGCTTCTCTGCGTGCCATAAGGGGAGCAAACGATAAGGAAAACATGACATAAGGAAGCATCCAGTGATACTAGTAAGTACGGATATGTACGTGTACGAGAATAGAAATGAATACCCTGACGATATGTGTCAAAAATTTCCGAACCTACACATTCGGAATGCGTTTGTAAGCTCTGTTGCCGGCCGCCCACTTATGACCCTGGTCTGCAGAAATTCCAGTTGTTATGACAGCAATACCGTTCAAAATACCAAAGATCCAAGAAAGGATGTTGAAGATATATCCTGGACCTAAAAGCTTATCTAGTTCGATAACAGAAAAACTTTTTGGAGCTTACCCAAACGTGCCGTCTCGAAAGCCGGGAACTGCGATTTGCTATACAGGTCTGTGATTACCCCAAAAGTAGCGATCTGGAATGCAGCTGGAATCGTCAAGCGATTAGACTTGATGATCAAAGCCAATTGGATACGTAGATACCTTGAAGAAGTATTAGCCCCGCAGCCACTCTCCAGATCCTCCTTCTACGTGAATGCGTGCTAACACCAAACGCTATTGCGCAGAGTGATGCCGCAGCACACCACGCGGCAAGCTCCACAAAGTATCGTGCACTGGTCCATGCTGCACAGAACACGGCATTATCTTCTTCACAGCCATCCGTGACCTTCTTGGGAAAGCTTCTGCATTGGTAGTCGCTGTATTCGAACTTCGAGTGATCATTTCCCGGAATGCGAGTGACTTGACGTTCACAGCGCTCGGAAAGACCGTAGGTGATAGTGACCTTCGTGTGGAGGATTTCAGGTGTTTGGACGACAAGCCTGCCATTGTGTTATCGGTGACCAGGGAGGGCGGATTGTATCTGAGCTAGACTGACCAATCTGGGCGATTAATGGAGAAGACATTCTGCAAAACGTGAATATAGCTCCTTTTCAGAGCAATTGATCGAAAAATTAGCTGATGGCTCACTAGTAGGAGTGTGATGACCACTACAAAGAAGGTCAAAACGTAGGATGTTTTGCGCATCGGGGAATGAAGAAGATTGTTGAACGGGAGCCTTGACTCAAATAACAGGTTGCAATCATGTTACCTGACAGATATGACATCACGCATCAATTAGTACGTCGCTTATGAGCCCGTGACATGAATTATATATAGTGCACCACAACGGCTCTACGGCTCTGAAGATAAGAGACAATTTTGCTGTTCGCTGATTGCAGTCGTTTCCGCTTTAGGATTTGCTCCGCAAGCGGTAGCGTAAATATCTCTACCTAAGGTATGGTCGAGATCCAAAAAAAAACTCTGCCGGAGTTACGAGGTGTTAAGGTTTTACATTCGAGTGTGGCGCAGTCCTGTGACAACGAGCTCTGGAGAGTATGGAGATGTGGAGAGTCTGGAGAGCTCTGAGAACTTTGGGCAGCGAGACAAAACAAATGTCCCTGGGAGGATTCGAACTTCCGGCTTCTCGGAGCAATTCCTACCACAACGAGATGATTTGACCACTAATCGACAGGGACAATACAATAGGAAATTTTTAATATGTGCTCGACCCTTTGGCAAAGGGAGAAGTATTGTCGACCCAGATGATAAAGCAGCGCAGGTCAAGGTCTCCGACTTATCGCAATCATCCTCCAATTCATTCGTGGATTATGTTAAGCAATGCCATATATATCATACATAGATCCCCCGACTCAGATTCCATGTATGTGAAGTCAAAGAAAAGTAAAAATCAGACTTGTGAGGATAGTTGAATTTCTATTACATCTACTTTCGTAAGTATAATCTACCCTAGAATTGTCACGTAAGTATAGGTACATAATGCACACTGATCCAACTTGATTTTGACATGTATGATACATAAAGAGGGAGGGGCAAGCTTCGAACGACAAAGTAGCAGGGTCACGAGATTAACCGGATCAAATGATCGGATCACTCCGAATACGTCACGAAGTTGACGTTCTTAATCTAAATTTACTCGAACCCTATTATATACATACGACCTTTCACGATTTCTCATTGAATACTATCTCTTTGGAACGTCATGGAACATGTCCAGCACAAGCCCTATCCAGGGCCCACCCCCAACTATGGAAGTTACGGGGGCTATATCCCTGAACAGCCAGCGCCTCCTCCAGCCTATGACCAGAAATCGCCTTACGAAGGCGAAAGGTTCAAGCCAAACCGCACAATCAACGATCCTCTATTCTTGATATTTTTCGTCTTACAAGTACGTGGCCTTTGTGACGTCTCAGTGACACGCATCCAACTTCATCCAGCTCCTTGGGTACGCAGCACTATCTGGCATAGTGCTCAATCCTTGGTCATCTGCCAATGGTCTTGGGGGTGGAATCGGAAAGTCGGGAGGTCAATCTGGTACGGCCGTCACGGTTAACCGGTGAGTAAAAATATTCGTGGAATCCATTTTATTTTATTTGATTGCAACTAGGAGCACGGTTTATCTGCTACTCCTGGTTACGGCAGCAGCGCTGTTGCTCTCTACGTTATACCTCATGCTCACTCGTGCGTTTACACGGATGATCATGCACATCACCCTCGTGTTGACAATCATGCTGAACATGTACGTAACATTACACATTTGAAACCCAATGCGTTGATAACATTCAGTATTTTAGTGGAATTTGTGTTTATTACTGGATCACGAAATACTGGTGTTCGTTTTTTGTACCTCTGCATAGCCATGAATCTCACTTTTGATCGCTCTATTCATAGCTGGCGCGATCATCTTTACGGTGTTCGCTCTCCTCGCCATCTTCTCCTACTTTAGCTTTAGGTCTCGCATTCCGTTGGCATCGCTTTTGCTCCAGGTTGTAATGGACGTGTCAAAACACCACAAAAGTGTCTATTTCGTGGCGTTTGTTGCATTATTGATGCAAGCGGCCTTGGCGGTGTAAGTGATAATCAAATATGGTTGTATACTTCCTCTTACATATCAATCAAGATGGTACGTGTTCACCACAATTGCCACGTAAGTCCGCTTTTCTTGCATGGCATTAGTTGGGCGAGATGAATCCAAAACAGGTACAACCAATACACGCCAGGCAACCCGAGTGAGTAGTTTCTTTCCCATTTGCTTTCAATTCATCATGATATTTCCATCAAAGATTGTGCAAAAAATAGCTGTTCATCCGGCAAAGTTGCTGGCTTGATCTTTTACGAGACCTTTTCTTTCCTTTGGACTTCTCAAGTCGTCAAAAATGTTGCTATTGCCACCCTCGCAGGCGGCCCTTTTGGGGCATGGTACTATTTCGGGCCTCATGAGATGGGAGAAATGGTATTTTCTTTCTGCATGAGGGATGCAATCCCTATTAATGATATCGCTCTTGCTTACAGCCAATGCATCCCACTACTTCTGCTTTTGGAAGGGCGTCTACGTTGTCTTTGGGATCGATCGCCTTTGGATCGTTAATTGTCACTCTCCTGGAGCTTATCAAGATGCTATTGAACATGATACGAAATAACGCTAATGCTGATGGTCATCGTAAGTATGCTTCACTATTCCATCGTTGATCTGAACATATGGTTTTTCTTTAGCCGTCGAGGCCTGTCTAGCATGCTGCGCAGCATGTTTCATTGGCTGCATCGAGAGCTTGGTGGAATGGTTCAATAGGTAGAGTGCTCTTTTCAAGTCATGGTGCAGAAAATCATGGTGTATATCATTCAGATATGCGTACATTGAGATCGGTTTGTTTTATTCCTCGTGTGCTAACATGCTCGGCGAGTCTATTACTAACATCATTACAGCGCTCTACGGCAAACCATATATCGCTGCAGCGAAGGATACTTGGAGGCTTTTCAAGGACCGAGGTGAGCTTGTCATTGATCACAATAACGTCCTTCATACAACCCCTAATTGTCGTTCGACATAGGCATTGACGCCCTTGTCAATGACTCTCTTGTTGGAATGAGTGCGCCCTTCTGTTCCAGATCATTATTAGCACTTACCCTCTATATCTAGCTTTGACATGGGGAGCATATGCTGTCGGTATAATATGTTCGCTTTTCGCCTATCTCTACTTGCGTTGTAGGTTCCACGCTTTATCAAGTAAAAGAGCGTTCTCACTGGTGATTTGCCAGTCACTTCCCCTTCTTATAATGTGGATGGAAGTTACACCGCGCCAGTTCTGCTCTTTGCGTTTCTGATTGGTACATTGTGCTGTATGTGCACCGTTTCCACCGAGTACCCCCTTGTTAAATCGTCTACATTAGCCTTGACCTTGTCTTCCGCCATCGAAGCTGGTGTCTCGACAATGTAAGCCTCGAGCAACAATTTTTGAAAGCGTCTTGCTGAAATGAAAACACTTAGATTCGTTGGCCTTGGTGAGGACCCGCAGGTTCTGGCTATTCGAGCACCAGAGCTTTTCGGCGTGAGTTTCATGGCAGATAATGATTGCAAATATCCTGTATATTGATATCTTTCCTCTTCTAGCTAATTGTGGAAAGATACCCTCGTGTCACAGCTGGTGTACCTCAGGTCTGAATGTTATGTCTTCAAGTTGGACATGAGTATGACACGTCTATCATGGAATTCGGACTACAATACAATGAACATACTAGATATTTGGTATCATGTACGAACATTTGTCAATTCACGCACAACATAGACATCTCCAGGCACCTTTGTATATGGTCCTTGTCGATTAGTGGTCAAATCATCTCGTTGTGGCTTCATTTCCGCTCCGAGAAGCCGGAAGTTCGAATCCTCCCTGGGACAATTTTTTGACATCTAGGGCTTTAATTTGGTATCAACAAAAGTGTATATATCCCAGTCCTTGTAATGCAAAAAAACATTGCCGCCGCATACTTGCTCCCTACAGTGCCAGGATACAAACTAGGCTTCCATAAGCTAACGTGGCGTTGTTGGCCAGACAGAAGCTCCTGTATGGCACACTGATCCTTCGAATGCAGATATTGTTTATATTCATGACGGCGGATATAAACTAAAAACATGAGAGTATTACGCTGCAACGACATGTTCACGACATGGAACAGGTGCGAGAGAAAGCTAGGAATATAAAAAGAAACGAGGGCGCAAAAAAACAAACAAAAGACATGGCGTAACGTATTATATGTCACTATAATTCGCCAGGGTCCTTGACTATACAGTCTGCGAAGAGATGTGCTTAAATCGGACGACTAGAACTGTAACGTTGTCTGATGTGTGATGCGACAGTGCGTACTTGAGGAGTTTCGCACTTGCCACCTGAGGATCAGGAATTTCTCGTACAAGATCGATGGCACTTTGGTCATTGGTGACATCCCATAGCTGGTGAGATTGGATCAGTGTTAGATGGGGCTCGGATGAATCGATTGCAATGGTACACACCCCATCGCAAGCCAGAACCAGAAACTCATCCTCCTCACAAAGCTCAGTCTCGGTGGTATATGGCGAACCGACCACAAATTCCTTCATAGAGGAATCGCCTAAACTTCGTGTCACAGCGAGAACACCGTTCACCCGCCCACTCATAACAAATCCGCCAGCATCTGTTATTCGTTTTGCTTCTTGTTTATCGGAACCTTTGTGATCATATGACAGGCGCACTGCTCTTCCACCACGGCACAATACTGCACGCGCGTCACCCGCATTGGCAGTGTACAATACGCGTCTTGAATCAGAGGGTGGCACGGTGATAGTCGTGCCGATCGCGAGGTCTTTCCGTAATGACGCGGGTGATCCAGAGCGAGGTGTCGAAGGAGAAGACACGGAACTTGATTTGTTGCCGGTAAGGGTCTTTAGCGCTTTCTTGATACGGCTACTGCTTGAGGTTTTCTTTTTTCTGTTACTGTGCTCGCTAAAGCTGCCGGTGCTCTCTGCGCCACTGCTGTGGGCGCTATCGACATCATTGCTATGACCGGATATGGGCGAGTCAGACAAGGGCGAGGACGGGGAAGCGTTAATGAAGGATTGGTGCCCATCGGCGTCTTCTATGCGAAGAAAGGCGGTTACTGCTGTGCAGCCAGAATGGATCTTGCCTTCCGACTCTTCGCACATACGTGAGAGGAACCTGTCGACCTTGTGGAAAGTCTCATTGAAAACATCGGGTACAGGCATATTTGGTGAAGCATGGAGCGAAGTTAGGAGGTACTGTTGTATGAGTTAGACGAGTTAGATAGGAGCGGTGAGAATGTAGTGATACGGATGTACCTCGTGAAAGTGGCTTCCGCACCATTCCGCGGCATGCTTGCCAGCATGTCCATCGAAGACAGCGAAGAAACCCTGACCTCGCACAGCGTCAAAATCAACCACGAACGAATGAGCATCTTCCATTGTTCTTCGTGTCCCTTTATCTTCTGTCACGCCAACTTGATACGCTGTATTCTTCGTCGCATGTCGGTTAAGGACCTGAAATGCCGAAGAGGCCGTTCAATGAGTCAGTTCGCATAGGCTTAAAATGGGCAACGTACTCCATATGTATCCAACTCCACGCTCGTGATGGATTTTGAACGTGCATTGGGAGAATCACTGAATCGGAGTTGCATAATATAGGTGAGGTGG